TCATGCATGCAAGGCAAGCACTCTACCACTGCGCCACCTTCCCAGCCCCAAGGATTTTTTTTTGTTTTTAAGGTAGTGTCTCTATATTGTGAAAGGTGGCTTCCATCTTGCTCTGTAACCCAGGCTGTTCTCAAACTCATAAATTTCCTATGTCTTCCAAGTGCTGAGATTCCAAGCATTTATCCCATGGTGAGTTTGAAACTCAGTCTTGTGCACTGTCTATGAGAGTCTCATGAAAATTTGATTCAACAAATTTAATATACAAAAAAGGATGTTCCAAGTTATTATAGGAAAATGCAAACAAAAGGAAAGGAATTAGAATATTAGATAGAGCTTGAGGTCAAAGTAGATAAAGACACATACCAAGGAGTTCATATTGAAGACGTTATGGCCAGAAACATTGAATCATCTTACAACCAAATAAACACAAGTGGGCTGGGAAGGTGGCTCAGTGGTAGAGCGCTTGCCAAATAAACACAAGTCTTAGAAATATAGCAAAAAATGGAAAGAAATAAGAACCTACAGGCCACAACGTTTATTAATCAGAAGATGAAGAGGACTGTCCTACAAGACTCATGGATATAGATGAAGGCTACTTCATATATCATTGGAGTAAAATCTAAACTGTTGAAATCAAAACAGTTGTGTTGGCAAACGTCTAGCAATTGTATTCACCATCTTTTTTCAATGGTTTGACTATGAGTGAGACCACCTCATCCACACCATTTCTTGCTCCATTCCATCACTTCCTTCCCTTACTGCTTGGCTCGGTCCTACTGTGCTACCTTTGCCCTACTGCCTCTGATTTGGGGAAGGAAAGGGGATTGACAAAATGGTGAGACAAAGTACAAAGGGTGAACCCACGCAACAGTGATACTTGCAAGACACTATGTTGGAAATGAACCTTACAGCTTGTACGGGGAGGGGAGTTAGGAGGAGGGAAAGTGGGAGAAAACGAGGGAGGGAGTAACACTGTTTAACAAGAAATGTACTCATTACCTTATGTTTGTAACTGTAACCCCTCTGCACATCACCTTGACAATACAATTCAACTGTAAAAAAAAAAAGAGAATATCAAATTATCAAAGACATGTTGGTGTAGATCAGAATCACCCAGGTAGTTCACAAGAAGGTCACAGAGGCCTGACATTGTTTAACAATTCTAGTAAATACATTCCATAAGCCTGTATTTGCCTTATAAGAGCCAAGTAAACTGTATCTAATAGTTGGGACTGGACATAGAATGTTCTGATTGGCACATCAACTCTAGGGCTAGAAAAGGATACTTTTTTCTAGTAATGGGGCTTGAATTCAGTGTCTTACACTCTCTTTGTTTTTTCCCCTCATGGCTGACACAGTACCACTTGAGCCATACCTCCAGTTCTAGCCTCTTGCCTGTTAATAATTGAAGGTAACTGTCTTACAGATTTGCCTGTCTAGACTGGCTTTGATCTGAGATTCCTGAGTAGCTAAGACTATAGACATGAGCAATTGGTCTCTGGCTAGGGTCATTTTTTATCAAACCACATACCAAGGAGACTTCAACAGGAGAGCTAAGATACAACTTTCCAATGAATAAAAGGAAATTTGGTTAAAAGAACCAACATGTCTACATACAGGATCAGAATAGTATAAAAATTTTGATTAATTGCATAGTTTTAGACACTTAAATGTGCCCAAGTTTAAGCCTCTTCTTAGTCCCATAGGATCATATGATTATAAATACGATATTTGTGGTTCCCATCTTCACAACAATCTATCTTCTACCCTGTGCTGGCTGTAACCTAAGTAACTTAAGTTTTCTTCCTTGTAGTTTTCCTTTACTTATATTTTTATTGTAAAAATAGTGTACAGAGGGGTTACAGTTACATGAGGAAGGCAATAAGTACATTTCCTGCTGAGCATTGTTACCTCCTCCTTTGTTTTTCCTCTACTATCCCTTCTATGGAATGCTCTCATGTGTTCTGATGGGTCATTTTAAAGCTACTGTAATGCTTCTGCCTATTTATAGAGAGGACTTCTTTTACCATCAGGTTGGGTGATACCGTAAACTCTGAACCTCACCCCTGATGAGGCTTCTGGTCTACACCAGCATGTCTTTGATAATTTGATCGTATTCTCTTTAAAAATATGTATTCTATTTTATTGTAAAGATGAGGTACAGAGGGTTTAGTTATGTAAGTAAGGAAATGAGTACATTTCTTGTCAGTGTTAACCCCTGCCTCATTTTCTCCCATTTTCCCTCCCTGGCTCCCCTACCCTCCAATAGTAAAGTTCATTTCTAACCTAGTGTCTTACAAGTATGGCTGTTGCATTGGTTCACCATTGTCCTTTGTCTCACCATTTTGTTATTCCCCCTTCTTTCCCCAAATCAGATAAACATATATATATAAGACACAGGGACAAAATAAAAAACAGTGACAACAGGGAATAAACCAAAGGAAAAAATGAAAGAAAAAAAGAAGTAACTTCACAGAATACAATTTAAAACAAACCTCTTGTTTCCATATTTTGTAGTTCATTTTGATTAGCATCATTTTATCTGTTCATATGCATATAGCTATTGAGCTATGTGAACCTCTGCTGGAACTATCCTAGACATACACTAATGATTACAAATGGGGGAAATTATGGAACCTATGTTTCTTTGGGGTCTGTCTTACTTCACTTAATATGATTTTTTAATGTCCCTCTTTCTGATAGATTCATAGAATTACATCTTGGAGGCTCAGAAGTAGCAAATGATTTCTGATTTGCATCCTGACACATTACTGGCATGTGAAATATACAAATTCTCCTTCATAAGAATTTTCCAAACATGAGTATAGTCCCTTCTTTCTATTCCCTGAAGAAGTGAAAAAGGGTAATCATTTTGTCTGTTTGATGTCAAAGATGACATTCAAATCCTTGTGAATTTTAAGCATGTCCTTTGCCACTGAGCTATCCACCAGTTTCCTAAAGTGAAAATTATTTATTGTATATTTTAAAAATGTATTATACAAATGAGTGATTTTAATTTTGGAATATATTTGTAGACATGCATGATGTCTTTGTCTTTAATTATAGAGTGTATCACAGAGAACTTCCTCTGGTAGTGGTAGACATCTTTAGAACCTTCCTTAGTAGGAACTTTGCCCTGGATCACAAGTTGACTTTAGAATCCAAACTAAAACAATAATAAGACTATGAAGCTACTAGAAGGCTAAAATCCGAAATGTATGTGTTCATTTCAGTGTAAGAGTTATTTGCTTATCAGGTCTTTTATATAAATTCATAGTATAGAGTATTGAGATCTAAAATATCCAACATTTTTAATCTTTTAGACCCAAATTGAATTTCATCATAATTACATCTGTTTGAGAAAATAAGTTTAATATACAGACATAATTTAAACTTTTGTGAAATCAAAGAAATAAATTAGTTTTAGTAAAGGTGTATGAAGAGAGCATTTTTCTTTCCTTAAGTTCTGAAATATTTAATAATAGGTAAATATTTTAATATCTTTCCTAGGACAGACATCAATGAGAGTCATAATATAGGAACATGAAATTCTCTCTTACATTTTAATATATTTGAAAGTATCATTAAGTGACTTGAAATGCTTTGAGGAAATCAATAAGTGATACATATTCATTGCAAAATTTTCAATATTGAAGGAAGCAAGTAACATTTCTTTTTAAGCAAGAGTATACATAAGTTTACAGAGCATGTGACAGGTAAGATCTTTTCATTTCCTTTGGTTAGTAGCAATTCATAGACTTGAGCATGCTAAAATTTACAGTTAGCCTCTTGATGGAATATAAAATTGATAAGC